ATATTCTGACATAGTCAGCACTTGGGAGGCCGAGGCAGGAACTTTATGGGGAGTTCAAGGCTAGCCTGGGGTACATAGCAAAACTCTATCTAAAAAAAAAAATCTGATCTCCAGAAAAAAATTGTAATGTGAGTTTCTGGGTCAAAGTTCACATGGCAAGACGTATTAAAGGCTGCCACGTTTTTTGTTTGTTTGTTTGTTTGTTTTTTAATAATCCTGAGACAGGCCTGACTATGTAGTCCATCCTAATCTTGAACTTCCTCTGTAGCCTAGGATGTCCTCCTGCCTCAGCCTCCCAAGAGCTAGGATTACAGCTGTGCACCACCACACCCATGTAAGGCTGCCACACTCAAATCAAATGGATTTTTGCGTACACTATGTGCTAGTTAACACATTTATTTAGAGATGAGTATAGCCAGGAAGCAAGTTTATATGAAAATACGTGTTTCAGTGAATAGGCCTTGTTAGGAAAATGCATTTCTGGTCCTGTTCTTTCCCACGTGTTCCATGTCAGGTGAGAAGGGTGGCAGAATGACCGAAGCTCCCTCGGTGGACGAGGTCATTCCTGTGGGTGTCTGTGTGCAGGGCCTGCATCGAGCAGCTTCTGAAGAAGGCAGTACTGGGTTTATTGTGTCACTGACTTGCCTTGGAGTCCTGGGGCTGCACTGAGCAGTGAACACAGATCTAAGGTCCTAAGGTAGCTGAAGTGGTAAGAACCTGAGCAAAGTGGAGGAGCCTCCTGAACCCCCACGGCACAGAACAGAGGCATTGAGGCCCCACATCCAACCAGTTTGGGTCATCAAGTTCCACCAAGTCCTGGTCATTCTGGTAGCTGGGCCCCTGGCGAGAGAAGTGGTTCCCTTCCGTGGTGTAGTGCGTGGTGAAATGACCCAGTCCCGGGAAGTCGGAGGTGCCTTTGATGCAGCTCTCCTGGCCGGAGAACACTGGCAGCCGAGACAGAGCCAGGCCCTGCTCTGTGATTTCTTCCTGTGAGCACAAAGCAGAATTTAATCTGTGTTTTAGGTCGCTCAATTGCTGTGTCCCTTGATGACCTGGCATGGTAACCCAGAAGCTGGACTTCAGGACTCACCTGCATGGAAAATAAAACTCTGGCTTTTCCTTTTGTTTGTTTATTGATAGGCTTTTTTTTTTTTTTTTTCATTTTGAATCTGGGTCTCACTATGTAGTCCAGGCAGGCCTTCAACGCACTGCAGTCTTCCTGCCTCAGCCTCCTAAAGTACTGGAATTATGCACATGTGCCACTGAGGTGGGAGATTAGGGCGTGGGGAAGTAGTATAACCTGTTAATTACCAGATCCTGGAGCGCATGGGCAGAACAATTTCCAAAGCCCTGCACATGGACTTCTCATGAGACCTGGAGCAGGTTTTCAATAGGACAGCCTGGACCTGGCCTCAGCCTGAGGTGTGGGGTCCCAGCACCGCCTGTCAGGACCTGCATGTGGGAGTTCTCGTGGGTTTCCTTGAGATGTAGATGGCACAAAAGGATGCAGACCCCCCCAGAAGAGCCCGCTGTTGGGCCTTTCCTCATGGTCGCCCACCCTGGACTCTAGGGTGCTCGTCTGTCTTGCTTTTTCCCATTTTACAGAGCCAGTTTCTCCCTCACTTGTCACTTTTACTTTTCTTCTTTTTTTTCACTTTTACTTTTTCAAGCACACTTTGTCACTGTTTTTTTATTTAATTCTTTGTTAGAGACTAGAAGAATCTAGAAACCAACTCTAGAAAGACATGAGCACCACAAAACCCAACACTGTATATTTGGTGAGCCATTTTTGGAAGGAGACACTACACGGTAACTACCATGCCCAGCTATCATAAAGAAACAATGTTTAACTTACTGTGTTCTGCAGCCCTGGGGATTGGACCGAGGGCTTAGCACATGCTAGGCAAATGCTCGGCCACCGTTCTGCGTCACACCTCTGGAAGTGAGAAGTGGTTGGGAAGATGGATGTTTACCCTGATTTACAGGTTGTGCAATGTCTATATGTATCAACACATCGCGCTGTACCCAGCACATATGTACATTGTTAGCCGGGCGGGGGTGGCGCACACCTGTGATCCCAGCACTCGGGAGGCTGAAGCAGGAGGATCACTGTGAGTTTAAGACCATCCTAAGCTACATTGTGAGTTCCAGGTCAGTCTCAACTACATAGTGAGACCCTGTCTCAAAAAACAAAAGAACAAACATATGTACATTGTTTTTATTTATTTGTTTGTTCTTTGGTACTGGGCATGGAACTCAGGACCTTGCCCTAGGCACACAGCGGCACCACTGAGCTAAATCCCTGGCCCTATTTATGTTTTTAGATGCAATTAAAATAGGAAATGTGAACCAGGCGTGGTGGCGCACGCCTGTAATCCCAGCACTCAGGAGGCTGAGGCAGGAAGATCACTGTGAGTTCGAGACCAGCCTGGGCTACAAAGTGAGTTCTAGGTCAGTCTCAACTAGTGACCCTGTCTAAAAAAAAAGTATAAAATAGGAAATGTGAGGCAGGAGGATCTCTGCGAGTTCAAGACCAGCCTGGACTACATAGCGAGAGCTTGTCTCCCAAAACCAAAAGAACAAAAGGATGTGTGACTTGCTCACCAATGCGGTCGGTCCTTCATGACTTGGGGGTAGTCACCTGTGAAGATGGGGTTGGCGAACCAGCCCAGGCAGAACTGCAGGTATCGTTCAGCAGCCTCTGTGTCCCCGGGGTCACTGATGTCTACGATTCCCCCCAGTCACAGTTCAGCAAAATCCCCACCAGGCCTTAACGGAGCAGGGTTGTCTCATGACCTGGACATCTCAAAAACAGCAAGCGAGTCACATCTATCCAGCCGTCTTACAGTTGAGAAGGTCTGAAAAACAGCTTCTGTGTTCATTACTACAGACGTCTTCAGAGCGCTGCCCTTTGAACAGAGAGTAAGAAATTGCAAGCCAGCCCCAGGTGCTGGTGCACTCCTGTGATTGCAGCCCTTGGGCGGCTGAGTCAGGAAGATCACCATGATTTCAAGGCCAGCTTGGATCCTGTGTCAGAAAAGATCACAAAAAGAAGCCAGATGGAGCAAGTCTTCTCCCCTGTGTGAATTTGAGGGTATGATGCATCACCCGGCAGCCTCTGACCGCCCACTTCAGACAGACCGTCCACCTTGTGCCAGTTGTCATCCCCCGGAGCCACCTCTGGGCCCTGCGGGGTTTTGGCCTCACTATGCAGTGCTGCTTCTCCTTCCCCTGCGCCCCAGCCCCGAGCCAGCCACTCCCGACCTCCTCCACACTGCTGTCCTGCTCGGCCACCTCAGCCCCGGGCAGCTTACGGACACAAGGGACATGGTGCCGGCACCGCTGTGGGCCGCTCACCTTGAGCACATGGTGCGCCGCGTGGTACGGGACGGTGCCGGGCAGCCTCGGGCCGGGCGCGTGCTCACCTGTCTCGTAGCCCTTTTCCACCTATGGCCTGCGGGGACAGCAAGTGGGGACCGCACTGGCCTCTTCACCACAGGCCCTGCTTACCCGAGGGCCGCTGAATGCGATCCAGTGCTTCACACAGTCCCCGAAAGCCTCAAAGCATAGATGCCGTGCTGGTGTTCTGCCACCCGCCAAACCTCACCTGGAGCAGCTGCCAGCAGAGGCGGCGCCCGGGGGTATGTGCGGGAGAAACAGTGGCTCCAGCAGGGAGCTTGTTTAGAGGGTCTTGCTAGGGGACAGGGAGCAAGGACCTGGGACGAGGTCAGAGCTTTTGAATAATTTAAGAGGGAACGAGGGACTGGCGGTGCAGCCAGTGGTGCAGCGCATGCTTAGCACCAAAATAAAAAGAATACTAAATGCCAGGCGTGGTGGCACATGCTTACAATCTCAGCTACTTAGGAGGCTGAGGCAGGAGAATCACAAGTTCAAGGCCAGCCTGGAAAATTTAGCAAGACTCTTCCTCAAAGCATAAGAACTGGAGATGGAGCTCAGTGGTAGAGCACTTGCTTAGCGTGTGATCCTAACAGGAGGCTGAGGCGGAAGGATTGCTGTGAGTTTGAAGCCAGCCTGAATATATAGCAAGACCCTATTTCAAGAAAGAAAATGCCCAGGGAGAGGTCTGATCCTGGGAAAAGCAGCTGTGATGTAAGCTGTGAAGGGACTTTCATTCTCCTCCCCATGCCCTGCGTAGAGGCCCCAGAATAAGCCCTGGTCTCCAGTCAGCTTTGCTCAGCCCCAAGCCCTTCACGAAGCCTCCTCTGCCTTCTGACATTGGGATCGGGGCCCTTCCGGGCAGAGGAAAAGCATTCGAGGCGCCATCTTGTGGCCACAGACAGCCCCTCAACCTGGGTCACCCTGGCCTTGGCCTTCCCAGCGTGCCGAACTGTGAAGTAAATTCCTGTCCTTCACAAGTCCACGGCCACAGCACGGACGCTAAGTGTGAGTGAGGATTTCTTCACCTGCTCATATGTTCCTCACCTGTGGCAGGTCCCAGTGGTGCAGGTTCACGCTGGCGTCGATGAGGTTGCTGTAGAACTTCTCGGCTTTGGGAGGAAGGGAGGACTGGCCACACCTCCTGGGGCCCATCGCCAGGGCCGGGGGTTTGCGGGCCAGATGGTGCCCCAGCACCCCGGCAGCCTGCGAGGCTGCTGCCCAGACATCTGTCTGGAAGGGACCACGCCGCAGCTCCCTCAGCCTCAGGACGTCCTCCTGTGTGGTCTGACAGCCAGGAAAGGGGACGAGGGTCGTGGGCTCACAGCTCCTGTGTGTGGCTCTGCGCAGCCAAGGCGCGGCCCGTCTGCAGGACACAGCAGGGCCGGTACCACCTTCTCCCTCTCGTGCTTGGCACCGGTGTGGGACATGGGGCACTTGGAGAAGGCTGTTGGGGTTCTCACGGGTGTGTGCGGGGGACGAATTCCACAAGGTGTCAACCCAAGAAGGAAGTGGCCGCTGAGGCTGAGCGGTCCCATTTGTCCACAGGGGCGATTCTCCGGCAGGGGCCAGGCCACCGTGGCCTGGGGGACTCGGGCCCTGTTTTAGGCTGCTCGCCTTCTTCCAACAGTGCCTCCGGTCTCCCTCTGTGCCCCTCCCGCGTGAGCAGTGTGTCCCCGCTCACCCGGGCCCTGTAGTAGCCGTCGCAGGCCGCGTCTGTGGTCACGTCCCAGATGCTGGGCCCCTTCCCATCCTGGTCCCAGGCACCCTCTGTCTGGTAGGCGGAGCTGCCCGTGCCCCAGGAGAAGCCTGCAGGTGGAGACCCCACGCTGGGCCTGGCCGGAGCCTCAGGCCAGCCGTGACTCTAGGAACCTTCTCGGGGGCGGGGCGGGAGCTGTGCCCCTCACTCTCCGCACACTCTGACCTCTAGCATTGGTGAGCTCAGGAACTCCGTTAGGAACTTCTAAAAATGTACCTTTTGGCAGTGATGGGGATGGAACCCAGAGCCTTGGCAAGCGCTCTGCTGCTGAGCTACAGCCCCAGCCCTTTTTTATTTTGAGAGGGTCTCACTGAATGGCCTGTGTGGTCCTCACACTTGAGATTCTTCTGCCCCAGCCTTCCGAGATGACAGGTGTGCACAACTGCTTTTTTGTTTTTGATTTTAGAACAACCCCATGAAGGTTTTATCCTTCAGTAAGGAAGTAAGCCACCATTTTCGCTGGCAGGTCAACCATGGCAGGCAGGCCAGAGACACAGACAGACAGACAAGCACAGCCAGAGGACTGGGTGGCAGAGGGGTGCACATACCCGGTGGGAAGGTCCCAGAGTAGGACGCCTCTCCGGGGACCCCTTCCTGGCAGTGCCCAGCCCAGACAGCAGCATTAACGCCCAGAGAGTGGCAGCCTGCACCGGCTTTGTGGTACTGGGCCCTCCTCCATACTTGCAAAACGTGTCCATGTGGTCCAAAAGCCTGGCTGGCCATGTCCCTGCTCAGGGTGACAGCCAGGACAGGGACAGGAGGAGGAGGTGGGTGCGGTCTCTGCCCGCCACAGGGGCTAAGCTGGGTGCGAGCCCCATGCCAGATCACTGCACGGGGGACAGAGCTGGAGCCGGGCTCAGCAACCCCCCTCCTGTGTCCTGGCAGAGACGCAGCCAGCACTCCCCACCAGGCAGGTGCCCAGGCCACCCCTGCCCCGCAGGGCCACCAACGCCGTGGTCAGGGGGACTCCTTCCCCCCAGGACCCGCTCTGGTGCCAGCCTGGCTGCCTCACCCGGGCTTGTCCCTGGTCCCTAAGCCGCTGCTGGTTCGGATGCCCCACCCCAGAGTCTGCACTGCCCCCCAGAGCCCTGAAGGCTCTGGTTGTGGGTGTGGCTGTGGCCTGACCCCCTGCAGAGGGTTTCAATAGCAGAGAGGGGCGGGGTGGGGAGGAGGGCTGAGCTGGCTCTTGGGGCCTCCGTCAGCAGGCGGCCTTGGCCCTGGGCCCTCTTCAGCTGGCTGGACTTCCCAGGCAGGGGGCAGGGAGGGGACCCTTCAGCCTCCTCTCTCCAGAACACCCATCCAGCCCTGTGCCCAGCAACGCTGTCACTGCTGGGACCCAGGCTCACACTGCTTCCTCCAGCCTTCCTGCCTCCACCGAGCCTCTGCCCTTTGTTGCTGGCTTTGCTTGCTTGCTTGCTTGCTTTCTTTCCTTTTTTGTTTCTTTCTTCTCTTGCATGTTGTAACTTTACTTTTTCAATTTCTTATTAGTCCATGTTTATTATACATAGTGTTTACATAAAAACAAAAAACTGGGCGCAGTGGCACACACCTGTAATCCCTGCACTCTGGAGGCTGAGGCAGGAGGATCGCTGTGAGTTCAAGACCAGCCTGGACTACACAGTGAATTCCAGGTCAGTCTCAACTACATAGTGAGACCCTGTCTTAAAAAGAAAAAAAGAACTGTGCGTGATACTGCACACCTGTGATCCCAGAATTTAGGAGGCTGAGGCAGGAGGATCACAGAGAGTTCAAGGCCAGCCTGGACTACACAGTGAGACTCTGCCTTCAAAAAAGGGGGGAAAAAGTGAGAAAGAGGAAGATCTTTTGCAAGTGGGAGGGGGTCTAGAGATGGAGGAAGAAGGGAGAGGGATAAAAAGAGTACAGATGTACTGTGGGGTTGTTTCTTTCTGCTCCCACAGTGGTACCTCCTCCTGGAAGCCTTCTTGGACCCCCAACCCCAGGCCGGTCCCACTAGCTGTGCGCTGCTGTGGCAGTGATCTGTGTCTGACCTCCCTGCTCCTGCAGGCTCCTGACCTTATTCCCCAGTGTCCCTGGTGCCCACACACAGCTGGCACCCATGGCATCCAAAGGTGTGAGCTAAATCTGAACAACACACGCATTAGCCTTCGAGTGGCTGCTGTGGACCTGGTGGCCCTTTTGACCAACACTGACCCACCGGCTCCTGGACTCCAGATGAGCTCTGGGAGCAGCCGTAGCCCTGGCACGGTGTCAGGTGTTCCTCCTGAGCCTGACTGCCAGCCTGGGAGCCTGGCTCTGAGGCTGACCTATCACCAGCCCGTTCCTCTGCCAGCCCCATCCCCTGGGCCTGGGTGCCAGCAGGGGGCTGTGTGGGGCTGGGCACCCAGGCCAGAGCGCAGACTCTGCCCGCAGAAAGAGCTACTTCCTTGGGCCCGGCTCCCCGGGAGCCCCCTGGCAAAGCTGTAGTGGGGGACCAGGGTCACCTCAGTTGAGGCTCCCTGGGCAGCCCAGTGGCAGGAGTGCTGTTCAGAGTGGATGCCAGTCCGGGCCCCAAGCAGACGTGTGGTGATCAGCAGGGACATTCTCTGCCACCGTACAAATGTTTCCCACCACTGGGGCACAGGGGCGAGCAAAGGACCTAGAGTGGCCGGAGAGCCCAGCTCCTGGGGCCAGGGAAGAGAATGGGCAGCCGAGAGGAAGCCAGGGCCAAAAAGGAAGTGCCCGGCCTGGTGTCACAGCCGGCCCTGGCCATGATGGGGGCGCTGCAGGTGGGGGGCGGAGCTGGTGAACAGCGGGGCTCAGGATGGCGGGGCTGGGGTCACAACAAGGACATGGACAGGACGGGGAGGACAAGAGGCCCAGCAACAGAGGCCAGGTGCTCATCCAGTGTGGAAGGCCTGTGCACCCGTGCGCACAGAGTTGGCCTCACCACTGTGGCTCTGGGCTGGGGCCGATGTCCTCTCTGGAAAGTGCTCCTGTGAGGACACAGGCTGGGTTTGTGCAGGAGCCTGGCATGGCCGTGCTGCTTGGCTTTGTGTGCACAGGGTCTGAAGTCCCTGGTGGGCGGGGACCAGCGGGGTGGCCTCAGGCCCTGAGGCTGTGGACAGAGGTTCGGCCCTCACTGACAGCTCTGCAGGGCCCGGATGCAGCTTGAGCTTTCAACTGAGGACCTGGCCTTCAGTCCCAGGAGGCACCCGTCCCCAGGCAAGGGAGCTGTGGGTGGGTGGGCCTGGGGCACAGCTCAGCATCTTGGGAGCGGCAGTGGTGCGGGGGACACTGAAGAGTCTGGGAAACGCAGCCCCCCGCATCGTGGCCGGGGCCGGCTGTGACACCAGGCCGGGCACTTCCTTTCTGGCCCTGGCTTCCTCTCGGCTGCCCATTCTCTTCCCTGGCCCCAGGAGCTGGGCTCTCTGAGCACTCTAGGTCCTTCCACCTAGTCCTTCACCTGCCCCTGTGCCACCAGCCCTGCCTGGCCCTGTGCTAAGGGGACGAGCCCCAGAGGCAGCATCGGGTGTAGGAGACAGTATAGTCCCGACGTGCTGTGCAGTGTTAGGCCAGTCATCGCCCCTCCCTGGGCCCACATTTCCTTCTCTGTAAAAGAGAGGATGTGTGTATAGAGAGAGGCGGGGAAGGAGGGAGGCAGAGGGAGAGGCTTCGCTAGGTTTTGGGGCACATGCTGGTCATCACAGTCACTGAGTCCCACCTCACTCTCGCCTTCCCTGGCCCTGATTCTCACAGGGAATTGAAGACGACGATCATACCTACTTTATGGAGAACTGTGAACCCTAAATGACTTCATGGGCGAAAGGCCAAGACTGTGAGGGGTCTGGGCAGAGAGAAGCCCTATTCCCCAGGGCCATCCTGGCGCAGACGCCCCCTGGTGGCCGCCAGGGATCTCTGCAGCCTGAGGACTGCATCTGTGGAGAGCGTGTCCCCTGCACCCTCAGGCTTGGGGGTCTCCTGGGACAGCCATGGTCTTCGAGAAGGCGGGCGTTTCTCCCCAGCAGCAAGCGTGCCCTCGAACTCCCTTCAGTGTCTCCGGGGAGAGGATGTCACCACAGGCGGACCGGTCCCCAAAACTGACCCCTGTGCTTTGAATGCCGGCCACACCTCCTTGGGTTCTGTTAGTCTGAGACTGGCAGAGCCAGGGAAGCACTTAGGTCTCGGGTTTAAGTAAAGGCCATTGCGGAGGTGGGCTGGGGAGACGCCCTGCGAGGGCCTGGGACACAGCCCCTTCCGGACCCCTCGGGTGCCTGGCTGTCCCGAAGCCCCCAGCCCTGTCCTGTGGTGGAAGGCAGGGTGTGGCCCGCGGTCACAGAGGCCAGCCCAGCCTTCGGTGCGGGTTCGTCTCTGTGCACAGCTGGCCCGCTCCAGGGAGGAGAGTGCAGGACCTGCTGCCTCAGGGCACGGCAGATCACAGGGTTGCTCTGCAGCCTGCTGCAGGACAGGAGGCACAGCGGGTAAGGGAAATCCTAGTTTCTGGAGTGGCCTTGGGGAGTGTTCTGGGCAGGAGCAGGGAGGAAAAGCCATAAATAGAGACTACTGCACACAGGCAGCTCGGAGGGCCCAGCTCAGGGCATGAAACAGCTCAGTGTCTTCCAGCGCTTGCGTGGGTTCCTGAAGTACTCAGGGCCGTGGATTTAGCTCAGTGGTTCCGCTGCCTGCCTTGCAAGCATAAGGGCCGGAGTTTGATCCCCAGTACCAAAACAAAACAAAAACCCAGACCTGCTCTGGCAGCCACATTCAAGAGTGAAAGGAAATAGGTAACAAAACAAAATAACCTATCCAGAACTGGATATGACAGTACACAGCTGTAATCCCAGCCCTCTGGGAGGCTGAGGCAGGAGAATCGCAAGTACAGTCCAGGCAACTTAGTGGTACCCTTTCTCCAAGTAAAAAAATTTAAAAGGGTGGGGACTATGGTGCACACGGTGGCAGAGTTTGCCTAGCATGTGAAGTGTTCACACACACAGGAAAGCCAAAAGAAGCGCGCAGTCCACACAGCCTGCCCACCACTAGGAGCTCCGTCTCTCTCTGCACCCAGAAGTGCTTCTTTTGAATGTCTTTCAGAATCAGCTGCAAACATCAGTTCCTTTACCCCTGAGCAACAGGAAGCAACTAATGATATTTGATTATCTTCCCCCCCGCTTTTGAGGTAATGCTTGTTTACAGTGAAATGTACACATTTTGTTTCATTTTTGTTTTTGTTTTTGAGACAGAGTCTCACTCTGTAGCCCAGGCTGGCCTCAGAGTTATAGGGATCCTCCTGCTTCAGCCTCCTGTGTGGTGGGATTACAAGCATGTGCCACCAGGCCCAGCAAAATGCACAAATCTTAGGTGTGCTCTTTTGTGAGTTGAGAAATACAGTCACTTGTGTAGCTCAGGTGTGAGATCCCCTGCCTCTTGCCAGGATCCTTCCCAGCTTCTTGTCCTGAACAAATACTTGGAGAAGAAATGCCCAGAAGATAGCGAGGTTTTACATTTGTTAAAGGTAGGAAAAGAAGTAGGCTCTGCAGAGTGAGAGTGGACCCCTGGAAAGGCTCGCAGTGGCCGTGAGGTTCATGCGGCTGTCTTTTGTATCCCACACACTCTGATGGAAGAAGTAGGCTGACCTATCAAACTTCTGCTTTATCTTGAGCGAGAAGACTTGAAGATAGCACTGTCTGATTGGTCCCAGTGCAGGGCTGGGGCCTGTGTTCTGAGCCTGGGTCCGGGATCT